GACATTCTTAATAATTCGCAGCACTTCTAGGATAAAGAATATATTTTAAGTGACATTTTCTTTAGTAATTAAAAGCAAACAGACTAGTTTTGTTTCAGGCAGTTCCATGAAACACTGGTTGCTCTCTACATACAGGACACCAGTCGCATAATATGCCTGTGCCTAATTCCATAATTACAAATAAACTTGCAGTAAGAGCAACAGAAATACAGTAGTAACATTGCATATATATGTATGAAAGATGCACCAAGCCAAAGGATTTTTCCCCTACCATGACTGTGTAGTCTATCTGAGGAGCCATCTCAGCATTAGTCCCACCTTTTAAATGAAGTTCTGATGGGGAAGCGGCAAACAGCACACAGGGCATTGCCACCTGCATCAGTAGACACACACTCCTAAAAACAATTATAAGACACTCAAATGTTGTGCAGTCATAATCCATAGAATTCCACAGAATCATTACATATCAAAGGCTAATTACTTTCCACAGCATTTACATAAGTATTTGATTTTGAACATTACCTAAAAAGTAAACTTAAAAATTACTCTAAAATTAGTCATTTAAGACTTCATGTCCTAAATATGAAGGTTTTTGTTTCACAATAATTGCATTTTTAATACTCCTGTTCGAAATAAAAGTAATGTAGCTTACTCGGTGTACTGTGGGACTGTGAAAACTGTAGGTTTAGCTAGCAGATGATAAAAGCTGAAAAGGCTTAGGCAGCAATTTTAATATTTTAACACTTACTAACTAAAAAAAAATTTTAAAAACTACAAAATTTCTTAGAAGCTGGTCAGCAGCCCACACAAGAAAATACAGGGGCACAGAAAATATGCCTTTACAGATAAGATTCCCCTATCATTGAATTTCTCCACATTTCATAGATAATAAAAAAACTTCATAAATTTTTTCAAAAGTAAGTTTGTTCAGCAAAACAAAAAAGTTATCTCGCAGGGCTTTCAAACATCATTTTCAATTGTGAAAACAACAGTCACCGCTGAACTGAAGAAAACATGGGTTTGTTTACTTAAATAGCTTCCAAATGTTTGTGAACCATACTGTTTCTCTCTTCTTTTTTTTTTTTTTTTTTTTTTTGTCTTGTCTTAATTACTAATTCTGCTGCATTTTTGCTTACTCAAAAATATGTGTTAATTAAAAGACATCATCTTGGTTGTTTATGCTACTGAAGCTCAGAAAAATATTTCTTTTGAATTAAAGGAAACTTTAACTTACGCCTAACCTAGCTTACGCTTCCAAACAACTGTTCACAGCAGCCTTCCAGAGCTAAACCCATTTACTTGATTTTGCAACAGATTCTAAGAACAAAGGACCCAAGACAGAAATCTGGGATAGAAGAAACACAAGCACAAAGAACCATGGATAGAATATGTTCCCCTTTCCAGAAGACTAGTATCGCATGTTGTACCATTACGTGAGTAAAATCTGAAAATTTACTTTATTATATGATGAAGATTATTTCAGATATCATGGATTTGAGATACTTATCTAATTTGATGTATTTGACCTGATGTGTAATGTACTAACATGAGAAAACAGTGGATAAAGTTTTAAATACATGGGTAGCTGGTTTTTGCTTAACATTAAGTAAGTTGAACAGTTGATTATATATCCAATTTTAAAACTATTACACTTGCATGTACTTTATTCATACATATCCTGCCTACACTAAAGGCTCTTTGATCACATATATCTGGCTCAGGAAGCAGAGATTTTGGCTCATTACCCACGTATTAATGTTACTTTTTTCCCCTCTGCTCTTTTGTGATAATTTTAAAATTACCAAGACATCATCTGACATAATTTTAAAGTTACCAAAAGCAGTTAAGAGCAGTTATTGGTCAGTCATTATCTGTGTACAAAGACATACCCTGCTGTTTTTGTATCTGCTATGTGGGTTCCACCTTTGATCTTCCCAGGAGTGAAGGTTATTTCTGTTGAGCCAATTTCTCCGCCTTCCAGCTTCCCCTCACATAGATCCCGAATGATCTCCAATCCAGACAGATGCTGAGGCCTTGGAGTGACAATACAAAGTTAAATATATGTTCAAGTAGACTACATACTCATGTTGCATTAAAAGAACTACTAAACACCAACTAATAAATACAATTGCAAGTTTCAGATCAAACAAAGATCAGAAATTCAGTCTGGCTCCTTCTGGAGTGTGTCCAGAGCAACAAAGCTGTTGAGGGGTCTAGAGTACAAGTCTTTTGAGGAGTGACTGAGGGAACTGGGGTTGTTGAGTCTGGAGAAATGGAGGCTGAGGGGAGACCTTATCACTCTCTTTAACTACCTGAAAGGTCGTAGTGAGGGTGGGGATCGGTCTCTTCTCCAAAGTAACAGGCAATAGGACAAAAGGAAATGGCCTCAAGTTGCACCAGGGGAGGTTTAGGTTGGATATTAGGAAAAAGTTCTTCACTGAAAGGGTTATCAAGCATTGGAACAGGCTGCCCAGGGAAGTGGTTGAATCACCATCCCTGGAGGTATTTAAAAGATGGGTAGACATGGTGCTGAAGGACATGCCTTAGTGGTGGTTCTGGCAGTGTTAGGTTGATGGTTGGACTCAATGATCTCAATGATCAACCTCAACAACTCTATGATTCTGCGACTCTACAGTACTTCTCCCAAGTTTGCAGGAACCAAAGGAGCAGCATTCAGGGCATCCTGGAATTTGCAGGATTCTGGTGTGATTTCAGCAATGGGGTAATGATGGCAATATATAATTGGAGCCCAGCCAGTAGCTGGTTGCCAGAGCCACAGAGAGCTAGCAGGATTGCTGTGCTTGCGTTTCCACGCCTCTGAGAAATTTAAACAGGAAAGAAACGAACTGTTCTTAACACTATGCACTCGGTGAACCACATTGTGCTGAGGCATTACATGACCTCAGCTGTACTTCATGTTTCATACCCTGCAGTCTCCTCAGCACTTCTGAATACGTTTCGGACGCTCCCCCTGACAGGAGGCGACCGGGGCAGTGCCCTCACTTGCCCCGGCACCCGGCCGGGGCCCGGGGCGCGAACGGCGCTGAAAGGAGCGGGCGAAGGCTCCGAACCCCCCCGCCGGGAGACCGCCCGCTTGATACCCCTAGCTTTCAGACACAGGCGGGATTTTCTGACGAAAAGGCCCTCCTAAAGCAATGGAAATACACATAGTTTGTTCTTGGAAGCCTTTCAGACCGAAGCAAGCCGAGAGGCCCGCACAGCTACCCGCACACGCCGCAACGCGACCCCCCCCGCGCAGGGGACAGCCGCCGGGCGAGGGCCGCGGGGAGGCGGGAAGGGGCCGTTACCTGAGGCCGGGCTGGCTCCTCCCGGCGCGGATCCGGCGCACCCGCAGCGGCAGGCCCAGCAGGCAGCTCAGGGCCGTGGACACTCGCAAGATCTGCCCGCCCTGCACGGAGAAACGGCGCTCGTCAGGCACTTCCCGCCCGGCCGCCCGCTACCAGTCCGCCCGTCACCGCTCCCCGGGGCGAGATAGTGCGAGCCCGGCCCGCCGCCGATGCTCACCCCCTCCATGATGCCGCCGTCTATCTCCACCCTGTCCCCGTCCATGACTGGCGACGAGCAGACCCGCCTCTCACAGAGGCCCCCGCCGCGCCGATGGGATCCCGGCGGAGCCCTGCAGACGGCGAGCTCCCGGAGAAGCAGCCCCCCGGGCCCGCGAACGCTTAGCGACGGCAGCGCGCCCAAGATGCTCTCCGGTGGCGGCGGAGCCCCAAGGCGCCGGTGCCGGTGCCTAGGCCGGGCGGCGGGGCTGGAGCAGGCGCAGAACGGAGCCACCTCCCCGGCAGGGGCGGCCCCGCCGCTCGAGGAGCAGCCGCCGGGTCCCAGCGCCCGGGCAGCCGCGCAGCGAGCGGGGGGAGCCTCCTTCTCCCCGTGTTAACGGCCACGTCCCGGCACAGGGCAGCGCTGCGGCGGCTCGGCGTCCCGGAGGAGGCAGTGTCATTCCCCTGTCCCGAGTAAGGGGACACACTAGGCCGGAGCGGTGACAAAGGCGGCACCCCGCGACCAAGCGTCGGCTGGGTGGGCAGCCCCGCGGGCACAGCTCTGCCCAGCGCACCCGGTGCCGCCGCTGGGGCCCGGAGGAGAGCGGCCGGACTCCTGCCGTCGCGGCTACAAGCGAGCCGTTTTCCCCAAAAGCGAGATCGCTAAACGAAGCACGGAGAGACACAGGTGTGTCGGCCTGGCAGCCACGGTCAGGACTTTATTACAGGTGCACCGGGAGAGGCCGGGCCCTTCGCGCTGCCCTGCACGCCGCTTCGGCCAAGGGACGCCGCGCTCCCTCCGCCGCCACTCCCGGCTCCAGGAACCTCCGTGAGGCGCTCGGGACAGGTGACACCCTCCCGTTACTATCCGTGGGCGTCTGACGGCTTCGAGGCGCCGCCTGCGCTCCTCAGGGGGCGGACCGGGACCAGCCGGCTACTCCCCACCGACCGCCCCGCGCTTCGGGCCCCCTCCGCCGCCGCCCCCCTCGCTGGCCCGGGCCCAGGGTGGCCGCCCGCCGCCTGGTTGGCTGCGGTTGGCGTGGCTGCCCTCCGGTTGGCTGCTGGGTGGGAGGTGTGCGGGGCCCCCGGGCGGCCTCTTCCCGGAGTAAGATGGCGGCCGTGACCGCTCTGAGGAGCAGCTACCGGACTGCGGGGCGCCTGGTAAGGGGAGCAAGGGGACCCTGCGGGTGGTGGTGCGCCCGGTTAGCTGGTGAGGGGGTGGACAACGCGCGGCCGTCTTCGCCTCGGCGGCATCTTGAAGCCCCGTTGCTTCCTTCCAGCCGGGAGCGGGCGGCAGACCCTCGGAGCAAGCACGGCACGCTCGCAGACTTGCCGCCTCCCTCCAGCCCTCCCGGCCGCCGCCTCCCCCGTGCCGGCGGGCGGGCAGTGCTCGAGCTGCCCTCCCCGCCTCCCCTCAGCCCGCCCGGCCGCTGCCCCACAGGTGACCGCGGCCCGTCAGCCGGCAGAGCCCGGCCCCGCACACCCGGGGGTCAGGGCGCTCCTGAGGGGCCCCACAACGCTTCCTCCGCCCCACGCTACTGCCCCGTCAGTGTCTTCCCCGTTGCCCATCTTTCCCGTGAAGGAGAGGTGTGCCTCCTGTCATAAGCCACCGGCATCCTTCCCTGCCGTTAATTCCGTACCCATCCGATTCATTGCACCGCCCGTACCTTCCTGCCACCGCCCCGGCATCGGCCCCCTTTGCGCGCCGTGCCTGCGCGGGGACGGAGAGGGGAAACCTATTTCTTTGACTCTCGAGCCTTGATAGCAGGAAATTAAGTAGTTGAGATACCATGCTCCAAGAAGTGAATCTGCTTGATGGCCTTTTAGGATGCATGTAATCTTGTGAGCATACATCGTCATGAAGACTTACTTCATGCTTTTCTTCTGCCTTCTTCCATTTATAGTCTTCCTGCTGTAGGGAAGAGTGGTGATGTCCAGTTGTCTCTGCTGTTTCATTGAATGTCAGGAAAAGAAATATCTTTTTGTAAGATAACACAAGTGAAACAAAATTAAGGATCAGTTCTAAATTCTCTTACTAATTTTTGATTGTAATCATTCATATGGTATTTTAAAAGCCTAGTAGTGAGAATTTTTTTCAGTGATATTTTTGTAATTATCTAGATTTAGGCTATATACAAGTCATTTTACTAATTAAGAATATTGAAAATGGCAGCTTCTTTTTAGTTTTCTTTCTAACTTAACCATCTACTCTTAAATCCAGAGAGGGAGAGTCTGGTAAGATGAAAATGCTCATCTTATCTATGTGCATGCTGAACTATAGAATTGGCTATTTATAGTGTGTGTCCTGCAAGCACATTTTAAATGTTGCTAGATACTAATTCTTGTGAACCAGTGATAAGATCCAAGAAATAATGTTTATTATAATATTAAGGACCTTTTTTTAAATATTCTCAATGTTTTTGCAAACACTTTGGCTAGCAAGAGGAAGCAGGACAAAGTAGTGGTGGTTGTCTGTCAGGGCTGTAGGTTGTGAAGAAGAAAAGAAAGGATCCTGGGTGTCTTTGTGTTAAATGGTAAGGAAATAACAGTTACCTGGACACTAGGATGTGGTGCCAGTTATTTAGGTGAGGAATAATGCCTGACTGAAACAGCTACCAAGGACATTGTTTTTGTTTTGCATGCGTATTCTGTATCTCCAAGTATATAGTTGCCTATATTCTAAACCAATGTAAGTAAATGTTGGTTAAAATGACTCAATGGGACAGCAAGTCAAAAGAGTTCTATAGAGGAGTATCCTTTAATGTGAAGTCATTGCCTTTGAGCAAAAACTATTTCATTTGACTTTGAAATTCAGTGTTACTTCATCAGGTGACCAGTTGCCTGCAGGCTGCATAAAAACATTTTGTTCCACAGCCAGCAATTTTAGGATCAGTGGTGATTTTGTAAAGCACAATAGGCTTCTTTTTAAGGAAACAATCAAAACTGAACAGGGGCAAGACAGTTGTTTCCCAAATAGCATACAGTTCCTGTGTTGTCTTGGTTTGAACCACAAGACATAGTCCATCAGATGTCAGTGGCTGATGTGTCCTCAGTATCAGTGGGGGACTGGAGTGGGTCCTCAGTTTCTTCTCCCCTCAGGAACTCCAGGCTTTGCAGACTTGCACAGGAAAGGCATTATCTTACCAGGGGAATTATCACTTTAAATTGTCATATAGCGTAATAGTGGTGATGTAAGCGTAATAGCTAGAAATGTGCTTCTTGGTTTTTTTTTGTTACGGTATTTCTCCAGACATCAAGGTATGTAGGTAGGTAAACTATGGATATTAAAACTAATTTTATCTTTTGTATGCTTTTGTTATGTCCTTATTGGGCATTACACAGAAAATAGTATTATGGTGATTAAATACTGACATTAATAAGCATAGCCTCTTTGTTTCATGGATTTTCTTTTTTCCCATTGTTAGAAAGGAACAATGTTCTATGAAGAGATTGGGTACTGTATTACTGCTTTAACATACTAGCATACCAGGTTTTTTGTAGAGAAAGTGCAGAACTGCAAACCAAAAAGATTCCATTTTTAAAAAAATGCTGTAGTTTTGAATTATTCTTACAAATATAATTTGAAACAGCATTGAAACTCTTCTGTAACAAAACCAGTCTGTTTTTTTGGCAGTGACATTACTAACTCACTACCTGCATTGGTTACCAAATGTTAAAAACACATGGAAAGCATTATGAAACTTCACATTTAGAAATAGTTCAGAGATTTGATGTGCTCCTTGTGATCATCTTCACAGGTAAATATTGAATGTTTTCCATGTAGGGTCATAAAAAGAGAAAAGAGTTTTATTGTAAGTTCGGGACAAATAGATCTCGTTAGACAAAAAATTGTAACCATGGACTCAAGTGGGAAGAAAAACAGAATTAAAAATAGGAGAAAATAGGCTTGTGAAGATCTACGTCATATACCAAATTTTGAATTGAATGAGAATTTTAAATATGTTCATAAAATAAGATTTGTCATTGCTTAAAATTACCATTCAACCTTATTTTTTAATAGGGAAAATTGTTTGGAGGACTGATGAAAAGTTTGCTTACTATGGAAATTAGAAAAATACTTATTCTATATCAGTAGATATAATCTTAGTAGCAGGCAGCTGATAACTAACTCAGTATAAATTTGTTGTATCCTTTATTGCATATTGTGTTGTATTAATATTTGTTCCTGAAAGAAAGGTGATATTAAATATAACTTGCAACGCTAGATTAAATAATATGGAAAATACGTACATCATCAGTTCGGAATTGTACAGTTTTCTGAATAATCTACTTTTTAAAAGTGTAATATAAAATCAAATAGTTGAACAGTTTGGGGGGTGGGGAGGGCAATCAGGAAGTTTCATATTCTCTGTAATTATTGAAAGGATTTTTTTTAAAAAAAAGAAGTTAAAATGAACTTTCCCATGCAGGTGTGCTGTTTTCTGGCTCCTCTAAGAAGATAATTTCTAAATTTTACAGTTTTGAGCTACTTGAGGTACATTGTAGCACCTGAATTTTTTTCATATCTCTAAATTAATTAGAGATAGTATCTACAGATAAATTGTTATTTTTATTAATTTTACAGCACTCTAAGACAACATAACACCAGAATTACATTAGATTTAAGAAATCTTACTAAATAAAAAAGGGTCTGAACTAACTTCTGTTGAGATTAATGATAAAATGCCTGTTTATGTCAATGCAAGTGCTACTGGCTTTGCTTTTGACCAAAATCATGACTGATTACATGATGCTTTAAAGCTTAAGGTTTTGTCTGAAGAAACTTTCAGAAAATTCCATTGACCCTTTAAGTTGATTTCTGGATAAATGTAACCATGAAAGAAAACCATCTCACACTCAGTTCTTAAAAAATGTCATTAAAGTTGATGTGAAATGATATTTACTTGAAGATGCTTGCCTCCTATACATTAACAGAAATAAATGGGCAACTGCCTGTGCCCCCTGGCATGAATTCCCTTTCCAATTAGTACTTCTGATCAACCTTTGATTGGAATAAGAACTGGCAAAGAAAAATATGCTGATCTTTCCTGCAGTGTAGAGAACCCTTCCAGCATCCATTCTGGATAAGAATATTTCAGATGGCTGATGTAGTTGATATTATGTATGCTTTTTTGTGTGTGTGTCCTGATTAAACTAATTGCTTAGAGAAACAATAGCAAGTATGAATCTCTTATCAGATCTTGTCATGATTTTTGTTAATTGGTTATGTTATTGTGGCTTTGATCTCCCCATGTGTTGTGTTAGTGAAAGAAGTTAAAGACCTGGCAAAGCTTATGCTGATTTAATGGTTATTGTACATTCAGTATGTATTCAGTATAACTGTGTTTCTGTAAGAACTTCTCTTATATAAACTAGAATTAAACTATTTTAGTATTACTATTGCATCAAGAATATTAAAAGAGCTCTACTTTCTTTGGTCCATTGTATTAACACTTGAGACTTTTCTCCCCCAGGTTTGCATTCACCGTGTTAGATCGTCCAGCGGCATTCGCTTTATAAAATCAAAATATGTGTGCGTGTTTGACAAATCTGCCCTCAAGTTTAGTCATCAACAGCGATTATTCAGAACATCTGCTGGTAATCTTTTTCATAATAAAACAATTTATTTTATTTTGCTATTTTATGAGTGTTACGTTAGCAGTTTGTCTGTAACTGGTGTGTAGACTATTTTTGATGCATTCAGATTTTTTTGTTGGATATATTTAGTATTAAACATGCTGTATTTCCTTATTGTCTGTTTTAAGTTTCATGTGGCCAAATTGTCCAGTTTAAGCTATCTGACATTGGAGAAGGGATTACGGAGGTGACTGTAAAAGAATGGTAAGCTCTACTTTCTTAGAAATACACTAAGAAATCAGCAAGTAGTTTAACAGCTGTATTATCAGTTATTTATCTGAGAAAATGTTTTCTGGGTTACTAGTGAAGTTTTTTAAGTTTCATTTTCCACATTTTAAAACCTTGTATGTACTGAGCTTTACATTTTGTTTACTTGCAATCTGGTTTATTTGGGAGTGGGCAAAGTGGAAGGAATGGGATGCCCTAACTGCACCTGTATATAGGGCTTCCCTTCAGCGATTAATGTTTTTAGAGTGCAGGAGCCTGGCTTTTATTATACTTACTTAGGCTGGGCTTCAGAAACAAACGGCTATTCTGTGGAATCCACATAATGTTATCCTATACCCACTCTCTATTGACTTTAGTAAAAGATGTCAATATTTAAATTGTTTGTAAAAAGCCAATGATGAATGAATGGATTAAGCAAAATCAAAGTGTACAGTGAAGGAAGGCATGTTGAAATGTCTTGTGCTTTGCACAAATAGGTGAAAATACTTCTTTCTGCATAGAAGACAATTTCCCCCTTTCAATTTCCTTTCTGAAACTGGTCATGTATTGATCCTGGCAATTTGAAACTAAGAACTTCCTTAGGTTCAGACTAAGCTGGGCTCATTCTTATTTTTAGATAGTTTATAATCTGTCAAGAAAACTCTGCTTTACTAAAGTAATAGTAAAAATATATGTGTGGTGATATTCTAAGTCATTGTGCCTTTTCACACAACAAAGGGTTCTGGAGCAGTCAGGCAAAAGATATATAGCAAATGTTTCCACTATGTAGAATTTCTCTTCTTATCTGGAATGTGTTTTCATGTTGTGGGGATGTACATAACTGAACTAATCAAAAGAATACACAGCATGGATTTTTACACTTAACATGTTTTATACTACCCTGTGTCTTTTCTCTTAGGTATATAAAAGAAGGTGACAGTGTGTCTCAGTTTGATAGCATCTGTGAAGTACAAAGCGATAAAGCTTCTGTTACTATTACCAGTCGTTATGATGGCATCATCAGAAAACTCCATTACAATGTAGATGATATTGCTTTTGTTGGAAAACCATTAGTGGACATTGAAATCGATGCTTCAAAAGGTATTGTAAGTCCTTTTTTGCCTTACATATTTTTTTTGTTGTCATAAAACCATCAGTGATAGAGGAGTTTACTTCTTTGTCTTAAAAATCTTAAAACTAATTTTTTCCCCCCTTTTTAAAGTCAACAAAACTAAGGAGAAAAAGCTGTGATACTTTATTAGGATTTAAACTCTCAAAAGCCAGATGTTTCCTATTGAAAACTTAGCTTAAGCAGCAGTTGTTAGCATGGTATGTTCCTGTCCACAGTAGCTCAAAGTCAACAATAAAAACTTCAGCTGTCACAGAATGACAGCATGGTTGAGGTTAGAATTTAACAAATGCTTATAATGTAGTAAAGTTGAAATTTTTCTTTTTGTTTGCAGGTGTTTCGCCAGAAGAAGATGTTGTTGAAACACCTCCTATGTCTCACGAAGAGCACACTCACCAAGAGATAAAAGGTCACAAAACATTAGCAACCCCTGCAGTTCGTCGTCTGGCCATGGAGAACAATGTGAGTTTGCTGGGTCAGGTCCTGCTGTGGTTTATCCATCTTTTCTATAGCTGTTTGACTGACTAGGAGAACACTGATCTAGAGGAAAGTGCAGGGAGAAGTGACTTGTTTTCAATACGTTTAACATGTATAAAAACTATTGTAAAGATGGTGGTTAGGAAAAGAATTACTGGGCTTAAAATGCAGCTAGGATGCTTTAGGATGGAGATTAAGAAACCCTTTTTGAATAAAAATAATAAAGTGTCATAATAGATTCCTGGGATAGAAAAAGGAGGAGGTTAAAATGGAATCTCAGCTTTAGCAACCTTGTTCTGTTTTTCAGATTTGTATTAGAGCAGAAGATGTACTAGGCGATCTTTTAAGCACTTTTCTAATTTTTAAATTTTTTTTTCAAGTGAATATGCCATTGATTTTGAAAGCTTGTAGTACATTTTTAGGAGAAAAATAAAGGGAAAATTAAGTGGCAAATCACTTTCCTCAATTTAGTATTTCATTATTGATCCTGTGAGGGAATTTAGAGGTAAGTAGTATTCATAGCTCCTCCTTAAAGTATGCAGTCAGACTCCTAGTGGGCCTTCCAGATGATTTAAACAATGTTGAGTACTTAATAAATCACAGAAAGGGAAAGAAAGCTGTAGGTATGTTAGATCAGTAACTGGAATAATTTTTAACCGTAGCTCACAATATAGGATATTTTTATATTGCTGTAAAACAAAAGCGTCATAGCTTTTTATGTGCTTTTCAGATTAAATTGAGTGAAGTTGTTGGAACAGGGAAAGATAACAGAATTCTTAAAGAAGACATACTCAATTACTTGGCCAAACAAACAGGAGCTATTTTACCTCCATCACCGAAGGCTGAAATTATTCCACCTTTGCCAAAATCAGAGACTGTGCCAGCTGCTCCAAAGGACAGAGCACGCAAAATTCCTGTGCCTGTTTCCAGACCCATGGTGTTTTCAGGAAAGGACAAAACGGAACCTGTAACAGGTAAATGATGAAATATAAAAACTTGAGACCACGTTCACAGTAGACGACCAGTAAATATTACTCAGTGAACAGTTGATTCCTTTTGATGGGAGTGTGCTTCATGTTATTGTCATGCGAGTGAGCAATAGGAAAACATGCTGTATAAGAAGTATATAAGAAATAATACTTGCGTGAAAGTATTATTTTATGAAATAATATTTTATGAAATTGTTCATGCTTGGATTGGATAAAGTTGGGCTGCAAGTTGCACTTGCTCATTTTTAATCCAAGGAATTCTGACACACATGTGAATTTGTCGTACTATGAGTCATTATGCAATTATTGGCAAAGTGCAGTCTATTTAAGGGATTATCAGTGCTGAGTAATAGTGTACTTCAGCATTCACACTTGTTTTGGGGACGAGTGCAATAAAAGGCACTTAGGTAAGAAAAAGCACATTAAGAGAGGAAGATTATAGGTTTTGCTTGCCTTTCAGGCAATGTTCATTTGGAGAGGCTGAAAAGAGTAGTGCAGATTACTTACTGTATTAGGATTTCATATACACACATACGTAGGAGAGACGTGCAATAATATAATCTGAAATATTACAATTGTAAAAATTGAGTTGCATGTGCTGAATAACCGTTGATCCTAAAGTGAGCTTTACCCTGTCCTTTTTTTGTTGTTGGGGTTTTTTTGTGTAATTTTTTAAATGGAAACAAATAATTGAAATTTCACCATAACCTCCCAGAAGCTCATTTTGTTGGTTTAAGAAGTCCATGAATATTTTCTAGGTTTTCACAAGGCAATGGTAAAGACTATGAGTGCAGCCCTGAAGATACCCCACTTCGGTTATTGTGATGAGATTGATTTGACTCAGCTTGTCCAGCTGCGAGAAGAGCTGAAACCTCTAGCACAAGTTCGTGGAGTTAAGCTTTCCTTTATGCCTTTCTTCATAAAGGTGAGATGTGCAGCAGAACACTGTATGGACTGCTTATGCAGATTTTGCCTAAATCTGATCAATGATTGTTGTAAGTTTGGAGCACCTCTATCAACTGAGTAATTACAGGTCACAAGAAAAGTCTCAATTTTTCTTGTTTATTGCACCACTTAGGAATTTATTGCTGGAATTGTAGTTAGAGTGATTGTATAAGCTGTCCTAAGTGGAGAGCTGAGAATTGTTGCCGAGTCTTACAACTTTTGTCTTGGGATATTTGATTTGAATTGTGGAACAGAAATAACAAATGCCGATTCAGCTTCAATTATACTTGGGAAAGGGATTGTCATTTTTTGTATGTTTATCTGATTTATATTTGTGTTTTGGAAGTTGTATTTTTCTCCTGCTATCCCTCAGAGGACAGAGTATCAACAGACAAGTTTAAGAGAGTTCAAGCCAAATTTGATTCCACTGAGGAAGTCCATATAGTTATTAATCTAAATTGTCTCCCACTGTTCCTTTCTTTCCATGCAGCTGTCTGGTTATAAAATATATTGGGATATTTGATTTGAATTGTGGAACAGAAATAACAAATGCCGATTCAGCTTCAATTATACTTGGGAAAGGGATTGTCATTTTTTGTATGTTTATCTGATTTATATTTGTGTTTTGGAAGTTGTATTTTTCTCCTGCTATCCCTCAGAGGACAGAGTATCAACAGACAAGTTTAAGAGAGTTCAAGCCAAATTTGATTCCACTGAGGAAGTCCATATAGTTATTAATCTAAATTGTCTCCCACTGTTCCTTTCTTTCCATGCAGCTGTTTGGTTATAAAATATAAAAATCTATCTTCTTTTTTTTTTTTTTTTCTTTTCTATTTAACAGGCAGCCTCTCTGGGATTATTGCAGTATCCCATTCTCAATGCCTCTTTGGATGAAAGCTGTCAAAATGTCACATATAAGGTTTGTAAACTGCTGATAAAAGTTGTGAACAGAAAACCTAAGCTAACAGCTAACAAGGGCTTTTAAGAATGTCTGAGCTCATTGTAAGAACCAAACTTGTGGTGTGCTGGAAAATAATTCGTGTCCAAATTCTGAGATTGGATTTGATGTATTATTGATCTCATTCCGGTAGTTTGTTTAATGAGAATCACTTTGTTATTCAGGCTTGCCTTAAAAATGCATATTAATATAATGATTTCCTATTTTTTACCTGGAGATGTGCCAAGCATTTAAAATTAGAACATTTAAAATTTAATACAGTAATTTTTAGTAATGGCACAGTGGTTCCACTATTCCAATGCTCAATCCTTATGTATTAAAGTTGTATTTTAAACTCAGTTTTGATAAAAATTGAATTTTCATACAAGATGCTGAGTTGATGCTTGCATGCAGCAAGTGTCTGTTTTCCTAAGTGATGTGTACATACTCCTTGCAGCACAAACTTCTTTTGTGCTGTTATATCAGTATCTCTCTGATGAATCTTTATATACTCTTTACAGCAAATGAAAGGCAACTCAGTTTCCTTTTTTTTAAAAAAATGTTAGTGTTTTCTTTAAAATCTGGTAGTTATGTTGTATTGCGCATATAATTATCCTAACCTGAGATGTTTTCAGTGTGAAATTGATTTCAGGATTCTGTATTTCCTGGATGTGAAACTGCCAAAATCAATTTGCATTTTGCAGATGTAGAAAGCTAATATTTATAAACTTACATCTCCTTCTACCCTCGAAGTTGTACAGAGGAGTTGCTTACTGCAGACAGCACTTTCTACAGTAGAAAGACATATAAAGAATACATTTTTCAAGTGTTTTCTCATGTAAAGTATGTTTTATATTGACTGCTTATGTTAATGTCCGGTTAATGAAACTCGTTGCAGGCTTCGCACAACATTGGAGTTGCTATGGACACAGAGCAAGGTTTAATTGTCCCAAATGTGAAAAATGTTCAAGTCTGTAGTGTGTTTGAGATTGCTTCTGAATTAAATCGCCTACAGTCCTTGGGCTCTGCAGGCCAACTGGGAACTAATGACCTCACTGGGGGAACATTCACACTTTCAAATATTGGCACAGTAAGTACAGGAAAAATGAGAACTTACATCTGAAAACTGCTTCTGAAATGAATACCTTGGTGAAGTTTAACATGCAATGAACAAAACCTGTAGTAATTAATACAAGGCAATCTACTTTTTAAAAAAAATAATTATCTGTTAACTAATACCCTCAGCTTTTTCTCTTCTAGATTGGTGGCACTTACGCCAAACCAGTGATACTACCTCCTGAAGTAGCCATTGGAGCACTTGGAAAGATACAGGTATATTAAATTTATCTCAGTGATGTGAGTGTTTAACTCCAGCTAACTAAGGTCATCTGTAATGGAAATGAAATGTGGAGTGTCCCTTTGTTTTGTTTTTCTTATATAAACGTATTTCCTCTTTACATTACAGAAACTGCATAGCTTGTGATTGAAAAGTTTTGTGATGTTTTTAGATGACTCTGCAGAAACACCAAATGTTTAAATAGAAGCCTCTTCTGTCAAAGGTTCAGATTTTGTTTCTAGAATCCTGTTATATTTCACTCAGATCTACGTTTGGCCTTCTAGTTATTAAGAAACAATGTGAATATATTTTTACAAGTTTGGCAACATGGCAACAGCATTTTTGTTATCTTTAATGGGAGAACTTGACACTAAAAAAGTATTCTGATAATGAAGTATAATTTCATGAGCCATATAGCTGAATCTATACAGAGCTCTGAGTGGTGAAGGCAGTTTCATGTTTTCTGAATGTCAGGGTCTACTTCTCTAATGTAGAGATTTGAGATCAATGCTGGAAATGAAATTAGTATTAATTTAAAATACTTTTTCTATGTTCTTCCTATGAGCCTTTTGTTTAGGGAATGCATCAAGGAAACAATTACTTTGAGCACTAACAGTGCAATAAACTATTCAGGGAGAAACTTTTATGTCAAGAAAAGTTTTCACTACTTCAGTATTTCCATGATGGTGGAAACAGGATGTAACTGTTTATTATGTAGGTGCAATATGTTCTAATCCACAGCACAAACAATAATGGGAAGATCTTTATTTTTTGAATGGCACTGCTGCTGCCTGTCTAATTTAGCAAAATGTTTACATTTAGATTAAGAAATCAACAATAAAAAATTAAAGATTTGTTGTTGAAAGTATTTAATACTTCTGTTTTTTTCCTTCCTCTGATTTTTAGGTTCTCCCTCGGTTTAATGGAAAAGGTGAAGTATTTAAAGCACAGATAATGAATGTGAGTTGGTCAGCTGATCACCGCATCATCGATGGAGCTACAATGGCCCGGTTTTCTAACCTGTGGAAATCTTACTTGGAGAACCCTGCTTCAATGCTGCTAGACCTTAAATAAAGGAAACCATGGCTAAAATAAGCCTTTAAACTTTGGATTAGACTGAACAATTACAAAAGCTAGCTCTGCTAGCATGTGCCCTTTGCTACTCACATTATATAATAGTTTTATGTGGTTAAAAGTTAACAGCTGCTATCAGTCTATCAATTATTTGTTACTTCTTTTAATTAGTAGTGCTGTAATTACTTCTACAGCAGACTGTCAAACTAATAGGTCATGGCGCGACTTCTGAATGTGGTGATGGAATGTCTTTATTTTGCCTTTTATAATTCATGCGGTTGTGAGGCTGGTGTGACTGAATGACACCGATCTACATCTGCAGTATTTGTAATCTGATTAACCTGTTTTGAAGGGAAATACTCATCATTCTTCCTTGTTGGAAATGCAAACTTATTTTAACAAATAATATCCAAATTCCCAAAAGAAGTTATGCAATAATCATACACAAATAAAATGCCTTTTATGTTTCTGCTCTAAGATGTCCAGAGAGCTTTTTGTTGTTTAACAGAGTAAACCTCTCAAGTCTTTTGCTAGTCCACTTTTTCCTGGCAATTTTACTTGCACAGGTACTCTTTATTGAATTATAAATGAAGAGGCCATATTTATTCAAATGCTTACTGATAACATTTATTGATAACTATCAGGGCCTTGATACTCTATAGAATATAGTGTACTTTTGTCGGCTGTAAGTAGTTACAGTCCTTAAATACTATCCAGTTATTTCTGTTTCTTATAGAAAGCATCTGTCTGTTTAAAAGGAAAAAAAAATAAAGGAAAAAAGGAGGATCTCATTTGTTATTCTGTCATTAGGTAAGCCTGACAGTAAGCAGAATGTTTTTTAAAAGCTTGCATAGTATTACTGATGTTCGGATACTACAATTTGACAGATTAATCAGATACAACAATGAATTAACAATCAGCATTAAAAAAGTACTATGTGAGATACAGACTTTTTAAGCTCGATTATGAGGCACAAATGAATAGGTTCAAGTTAATGCCTTCAGAACAGACAACAGTTATGTAGCTTTAAGGTAAACTAAACGATGATGAAGATTACACTGGTTATTTAACAGGAGATATGAAGAAAACCTTCTAGAAATGTAAGTTGCAAACAGACACAAGAAAAGAGAGTTATACGGCCTTAAAAATTAATTTGTGAGACATAAAATGGACATTTTCTCCTTTCTTAGATATATCAAAAGCTGAGCATTTTCCAAAATCGTAGACCAAAGCTGTCTGTTGCATTTAGTTATGAAGATGCAGGACAGAAGCTGCCAAAGGTAGAATCTCTGCTATGTTTGTTGCTGAGACTGAGCAAGAGGAAAGCAGGTAATGTAGGGGAGGGAGCATGGCAGCATACTTGTAAGGTGCTATTTATATTGTGGTGAAAGGGTCTTTTATATATAGGTTATTTCTTGCAAAGTTTAACTAATACATCATGCTTATCACCTATTCCATTTTTATCAGATTTATTTATTCCTAATAAAAAAAAATTAAAGCCACAAAATTGTAGTAATATTGTTTTTATTTGTGAATTTTATGCAGGAAATCCTATACAGCTGACTTAAACTTCTATTTCTTCTTATCATAAAGAATGTACTGCACTCAAGACTACCAAAAGAACACAGCCTAATGGCTACTTTCCTACAAGTATATTGTGGTAAGGGCTTAGTTTTTAATCTGGTGACCGTGGAGAAAATAAACTGAGAAAATAAAAGTGTATGATAAAAAGCAATAAAGTGATTTTAAAATATTTGAGACAGAATAATTTTGCTCACACAAGAAACCTGAAATTTTTGTTTCTCAGAACTCCAGTAAAAGAGAAGGTTGTTTTGTTTGGGTTTTTTTCCTAGCTCTAGTTATCTGTCTCTTCTAAGGAGCAGAAAATGAAGTAGTTAGGTTTTTAGTTATGACTTTTTTGATAAGGAAAAACATTGATTAAAAAATAATGCGGGGGTTGAGTCTATACCAAAACTGCAAGAAGAAATACCTATTCCAAACAACCTGTTTGATAATTTTTGCTTTTTAATAACTTTTTAATTAAAAAAAAAAAAGCACAGAATATTGAGAGCTCAAGCAGTTAATGTCTTTTTAAATAGGTATTGGTGTTCAGGTATTCAGTTGGGCATGGACAGAAGAGGGTTTTTTTGGTTATAAAGTTCTGTGTGGTAATGCTAGAATCTAAGGCTAATAATTTTCTGCTGAAAGAGGTTATAACCAAATAAATGATACTTCTAAAATTTCATCTTCACATCTTATACTCCAGTGCAAGAATTTGTTCAACTTATCCAGTTTTATGGCTTTTGCCTCAAGTAGTGACGTGATTATTCCTTTCTCGCCATTTGGTTGTAGAGAAAGTTTCTGAGAGTTATCCTTTTATCTTCTCCAAGGGCTCTTTGAAGAAATAGAACATTAAAAATATTTATGATTGGAAGCTAAAGATTACTTTTCTGTCTAGACTTTGCTAATTTGCACTGAAATTCTTCAACAGGAGAATTCTTCAGCGTGGGCAAGAGTAATGAGTAAAATACTTAGAGTGATATAATGTTTTCTAGTGTAATTAGTCAATGTTGCTGTTTAATAGCACCTTGAAGCTCAGTTATCTTGCAGAGAAACATTACTAGGCTGAAGCAAGTAGTTGTCATTTTGATTTCAAAACTAGCTTGTTTTTTATTGTGGACCATAACAAGTACATCTTTGTTCTTTTTGTTCACAATTGCAACTTTTGTTAATGTGAGTCCAGGAGTTTATGGGAGTCCAGTCACGTTCAGCAAACTGGGGAGACATTAAGAGTGGTAAATGCTTGGGGGGTTTGCAGAAGTGCCTCATGTGATACCTTCTATTCTCAGCATAGGATAAAATTAGAACTAGTCTGACATTGCATTGGTGCCTGAGTGAGAGTTCTAAATGGTTTTGGTAGTGCAGACAGGATTTGTAATTTTTCTCTGCTCTTGCCCAGAAAGCAATGAGTCACAGAAAATCCTTGAAAACACCAAATAGTTGAGGTAAGTTGTTGTTAAACTCTTTCAAATGCTTGGATGGGATGCTGTTGGGAGATCTGATTACTTGGGAGTAAATTTGCAGTTGTTTTACAGCCACGCTTGGGAATTCTTTTCTGAATTGTTGGCTGTGATGGCATGCTTATTATGTTTTTTATTTTTGTGACAAATAATAAGATTTAAGAACAAGAAGTTTTTGATGGTAATCCTTTTATTATATAATTAAATCTCCAAGAAAACAAAGTCATATACTTAGGCCCTCTTTCATATTTCATGGGTCTAAAGCAATATTTATTGAATATGCTTTCTGCAGCAAGAGAGAATTGCCTAGTGTAAGTTTTACTAAATACAAGTATTGTTTTGACTGTATAGTCTGACACTGCTTTTAGTAGTACAAGTATTAACAAATGGCTCTTTTCTGCACAATTTATATAAGATGATTTTTAGTTTTTTACCTAAAAAGTCCTATAGTTCAAAAAATGTCCCAAAACTGCAAGAAATGATAGATCAGGTAAATCGCTTATACTCAGTAGAAGTTTAATCCTGAAAAAGAAGGCAACTTGAGTTGTGACCACTAATCAGAGCAAAAACCTCATACAATGTCTTAGTCATTAGTGTTGCGTATTAGGATGAGGAATGGGATCACTTTTATGGTGGGGAGGGAAAGAGGATACAATCCTCTCTTTACAGGAAAAAATTCAATCCATTTTTCCTTAACAAACAGAGAACAGTTAAGAATCTTTAATAACAATGTCTTGGACCAGACTCTTCTTTATTCAAGCATTATAATTTGATTTTTATGCTGTTATTACAACAGGAAGCAATCCTGACAATTTGCATTTCTTATTATTTGCCTATATATTTTTAATGAAGTGAGTATAGTATAATCAGGTTTTGCAAATAACTATGTTAGCAAAAGACATGGTAAACATAAAATAGAATGATTGACAGTTTGAATACAAAAATTTTCACTAAGCAACTGTGGCTTATCCATGACACATAAAAGTATAATGCAATAAATATGATAAGAAAAAGATTACTTTAAAGGCCAGAGGTGCAACAATTATTGTAGGGAAATACATGTATGAAAAGACCTGAAATTCCACTTTTATTTTTATCTACCTGCTTGTCTGGAAGAAAGTTGTCCTCATTTTTTAATTTGAATGGATGTGTAAGACATTTTTCTTATTTGTCCCTAAAAGTATTAGTAAAAAGTTCGAAAGAGAGGACTCAGATTATCAGTGTTCAGAGTACGCTGCTCTTGGCATGCAGTTCAGCACTCCAGGCTTCTCTGAATATCAATATCTTGGCTCTAGTTTACTTCCAAAAAAGTCCTTCCTCAAATGACTACTGTTACAGCAATAAGAATGCTTTTTAGGGGGGTGCACTGGTTAGGATGACTGAGTATCCTACTTTGCTGCTCTTCAGGAAAGTATATATTAATTATCTCACTAAGATAGATGACTTCAAAACTTTAGGTTGATATTCTTTTGTTTTGCTTTTTTTTAAATGTGGATGCTGACACTCAACAGGGCTACAAGAAGATTCAGAGAGAGATTTGAAGAATTTAAAAAGCCTTTTCTTAAAGGTAATGCATTGCTAATTATAAAATATATTATAATGAGTTAAACTATGAAGACAATGAATGCAAATAAAGTATACTAATTTATTTCCAGCAACAGTTCAGTTTCTCTAAAGCACAAAACTCCTTTAGTTACAAGTATTTATACCAAGTAGCTGCCAGGATGCAGCTATCAGGATGTAACTGCCTTACACTGCAGGTAACAGCTTAATTTCTTCCTGGGAAGGGAATGAATGTGCATATCTGCATTTAATAATTATGGTCAGTACTGAGCCTACCACTGGAAGGGACTGAGAGAAGCAGTTGTTCACTAAGAATGCAGAGGGATTGTAGGAATACCATTTCTACTTATAAGAAGATTTAACTAGTTGCAGTTACCTATTTTTATAAAGAGAAAGCAGTTGGTAAAATTCTATCAGTTCTATTCATTAAATAAATGTAACAATATAATCAAGTGGGTATTGCAGTATTTCAGCTTTCCTGTCACTGTCCCCACCTGGCAGCTGCTACAGGCGGTGATGCACTGGGCCTGGAATTCACAGGCCGATTCCCGTGACTGAACGTGAACATGCAGGGATCATGTCTGAAACTGCCGTTTGTGTTGGAACGTTCACGGCTGTGAAGACGCTTTGGGAAGTGAGAATACACAAGATAAATGAAGAATTACAGAAAGAAAAGGAATTCAGACAGAGGTCTGCAGGAAGGTAGGTAAATTGTAGATCTCTAGGCATGTGAAAAGCTGGACTATATGTTACGTTTCAGAAGACTACAACTGGCTTTCTCAAACTTATCCAGAGTCTAATTCTTTAGTTGTTACTCCAGCAGAATTCCCACCAGTTAGGATCTAGCAATATGGTCAGGTCAAACCAAGAATTGTGTTCTGTATTAAAAATACTAGTTTATATACTAAATCCCCTAAATTCAGATACTAAAATTCTCTCCTGCGTGGACATTCTAATGAGTGGAGATTTAGTTTGTTATCTTTCTTCTCAGTGGAGCATTTAACTGGGTCACTTGGTCTTTTGCCTGGCCAGCAATTTAATGAAATATGAAGAAATCTGGCATTCTATTTTTGGAACTCTTCCTAGTCTGTCAGATGTGTTTGAAATGGAATAACGAATTCAAAAGTTACTAGTGGAAAATATAAGCAGAAAGAAAGAGAATTAGCCTAATTTTCATAACTCTTGTTGAAGTCCCTTTGGAAATCAAGCTAAAAGAATCCCTAGATGATTGACCTTGTTTGATTGCACTTATATTTGGTGGAATTGAAGGCTTACTTTTTTAGGACCCTACTTCAAAATTAATGGCTTTGGAACTTAATTCCACATGACCTTATATTCTGTTGCCCTCCTGCAACGTGATGAAAGTGACTGAAGTCATGCTTTCCTTCTGACTGTAAATTTGAAGAACTGTAAACCAGAATTTGTGTAAATTATTTCAGCCAAACATTACTTTATTTTCCTGTCTTCCCTCAAATTTATAGTGTATTGAGCATCCAGAGATAATAAATGTTGTTTGACATCCAAAAAGGTTACTGTCTGTTTGTTCTAGTAAATAGAACAGATAGTAATTATTGCCTGTTCATTGTGGCACCACGGATCTTTCCCTTGCAGGCTACTACTTGTCTGGGAGGAGAGGGCTGCTTTAGCAAAGCTCAAAGAAAAAGTTATTCACGAAGATGGAAGAGCGATTTTGAGGATAGAGGAAGAAGAATGGAAGGTAGTGTCGACAGGAATGAGTGTTGTTTGGGTTGAATGACTGATGCATTAGAAAACTACTATTTACAACTTTACACTCACAGCTTTACTGTTTTTAATCTATGAAGTGCTCACTGTTTGCTAACAGTAAATTGAGACACGCTGTTGTGAAAGTGTAAAAGCAAGCTGCTGTTTTTCAGTACTGAATATTAAGCATTACTGTTCAAAAATATAGCCCAAAGGCTTTTCTGCATTAGAAATTATTTACTCTGCAAATTATGAGTTTAATTACATAAATCCTCATTTAACATTAACATACCAGTACTGTTGAAACGTGTGAAGGTGAAAACCCTCTGTGCTTAGGTGCACAAAAATGTTTCTTACTGTTGTTTACTTTCTCTTTCAAAAAGTGAAAATGAGCCAGTATATTCCCAGAATACTATTATTTTTGTTTCTAATTCCCATGGGGAAGTGGCTAACTGTGGAATCAATGATGGATTGGAAGCTAACAATCTTCATGCAGAAATGCAGATGCCAGCTCCTACCAAGTGATGAGGATGAGACCCTGTTGAGCCACACCCAGCAGTGGTCCATAGGCCACTGTTCCGTGTTCAGAACTCACAGCATACAGACATTGTAGTTTTTGATATCCCTCGGCTCTTCTGCTCTCAGCTGCTCGCCATTTTTCTTAACAGAATAGGAAATACAATTTAGATCACCATTTAAATGGAAGAAATTATTTAGAGCAGTTTCATCTTTGGTTATATTTGCTTTTTTTAAAAAAAAAAAAAAAAAAAGAAAGAAACAAAGAAAAGCAAGCCCGAGGCTTGTCAAGCAATGACAGCAGTGCAGATATCTAAATACTGGGAGCAAAAAGTGGGCAGGTTAAATCTGTGGTCAGAATGACCCACATTGATGGTGTTCATATTGGGGTGCTACAGTATAGCTCAAGAAGGAGAGATTTCTTTTTTCCTTTTTTTTTTTTTTTCTTTTTTAATTTCAAGACTTACTGTTTCAAATAAAACTTCTACCTAAGCCTGTATTCTTGTTGTATACTAAGTTGAATTTCTTCTGGTTATTATTTCTTGTCTTAGACACTGCCTTCATGCTTACTGAAACTAGCCCATCTCCAGGAATGGCAGCTTCATAGAACTAGTTTGCAGAAAATTCCTCAGTTCATTGGAAGATTTCACAATCTTGTTGTCCTGGATCTTTCCCGGAACTCAATTGAAAGTGTACCTAAAGAAATTGGTGAGCTGTGCTTTCTTTTATTTTATGCTGCTTTTCTAAGAAAATTAATCTTACATAAACATAAAATTTTTGCCTGTCTGTCAATCCTATTGGGTAGTTAGAAAACAGATGATTTAAATCTGACAGTGAGATAGAGATCTTAAAAGTGTGGATTCCCTCTAAATTAAAAGAATGGCTAGATGGAGGAGACATACCTTTATGAAAGCTTGCCATGAGAAAAAAACTTGTAAGCATAGCAGATACTAGACATCAGAATGCAGCTAGGAAAGCAATATTGAGGTCCCTTCCAAATTAGACAATTCTATGATTCTGTGTTCTCCATCTACAGCATGAGTAGCCTATGTTCATAAATGGTTTTTGAGGCTTTTCTGTAGCACTCAACTAGAGTGCAATTCTGTACTAGAGTCCTACTATTTGAATTTCAGTGAATCTTTTTTTTTTAAAGTGAGAACACAGAGCACTTGTATAACAGTGTAAGGATAACACAAAACAAGTGATACTGTATTTCAAATAAAACGAACATTTATCATTTCTCATTTGTGCTCTCTGCAGGACAGCTGACTAGCCTCCAAGAGTTGCTTCTCAGTTACAATAGAATAAAATCTGTTCCTAAGGAAATAAGTAACTGCGTCAGTCTGGAAAGACTGGAACTGGCTGTCAACAGAAGTATCAGTGATCTTCCTCCTCAGGTTTTGTGCTTTTTATTTAGTTTTGTTTAATGCATATTTTGAATTTATCAAAACCCAATTATCATTAAATGTTGCAATCCATGTTTTCATATTTGCTTTGATACTCTGATTTCACAACTACTCCACAAAAAGGCGTATGTGAGCAATATGGCCTCTGACTGAGGCCACATGAGGATGGCCATATGTATACCTGTGTGGTAGAAGGATCCAATCTCTGTACAGATAAATTATGTGGTAGTGCATATAGGGCAGCAATACAACTGATGATAATTTGTTTAGGTCTTCTCTGATTTACCCCACTGAGGATCTGATGCCTTAGCATCAGAGCATCAGAGAACTTGCCTTTTATGGTTGAGAATACAAATTCATGCCATGTGCCAGGACACAACTGTAAGCATCTTTACCAGAGCTGCTAGCTGTGAAAAGGGCTTGCCATAGTTGATAGCAATCAGTGCCTTGCAACATTGAGTGAGTCCAAACAGTAATACCTAACAACAAATCTTCAAATGAAAATATACACTATTAATCAGAATCCAGAATTTACAAAATCTATGTGGAAACAGGTCACACAGTGTAGTGTAGAGCAATAGCTTTTAAATTAACAGCTCGTAGCAAATACATCGAATCATAGAACCTTAGAGATCATCGTGTTCCAACCCCCTGCCACGGCGTTGCTCCGCTAGAGCAGGTTGCTCGAAGCCCCCCATACATAGCTGTGTCCTATTGAGACTGCGGTGATGTGAACACCGTGCAGCTTTGGTTATGTGTACCTGAGTGGCATTCAGTGTTTAGTTGGACCAGATCTGCAGTGAAACATCTTTGCATCACTTGAACATTGTCAAAGCACCTGATGGCATGATTCACCAAAGGCCTTAGGCATTGCAATACTGAATGTTGCTGTCTCATTGTTAGAATGTCTTGCCATAATAGTAGGCTTCACAACATGGAAGGTGTTTAGGTACAGTCTAAAATAGAGTCCAAAATACATTCCATGCCATCTGACCCACAAAAATCGAAATATTTGACTAATGAAAAATGGCATATTACATGGAGTATGAAATACTAAGGACAGTGGTATCTTTAAAAATGCTCTTCTTCAGTTTCAAACCTACATACCTTCCAGGGAAGCATGGTAATTGTTGGGTAATATCAGCTAATGTAACTCAGAAACTATTCCGTGTTTACTAACTCTGAAACGTGTTATAATATTTTTTAAATTATTTTTTTTTCAGTCAACATTATTACTGCTCTGCTGTAATGGAACAACTATATAAACTTGCATTAAATCTCCCTTTCATTACAGCTCAGTGATTTAAAGAAGCTATCACACGTAGATTTGTGCATGAATCAGTTTACCACCATCCCTTCAGCACTTCTCAACATGCCAAACCTAGAATGGTTAGACATGGGGGGGAATAAACTCCAGGAGCTTCCTGATGCAATTGACAGGTAAATAAAGCTCAAAACTCACATCTTACTTTCAGTTCCATTCCGTTGAAATTCTAATTATTACATCCTACTTCAAAAGATTATTTTAATGTTAATCTCACTGCAAACTTAAGATTTATCAGCCCTAATGTGATATTTAGGATGAGCTGGAATAATCCATTCAATAAACAGTAAATTCAGTATCAACTACTCAGTTAAATATTTCTTGCCAAAGACATTTTTGGTCAGAGGTTAGGTGATTGTCTTGCATATGAGGTTTCTTTTGAGAATTGCTGTATTCTTTATGAGAGTCCTTTATGGGGCTGTAAAAATGAACCAATTACTTTATATTAATGATTGATAAGATTAATTTTCTAAATCATGATTGATTGCACCCATACCTATTTTACAGAATGGAAAATCTCCACACTTTATGGCTTCAAAGGAATGAGATAAGCTTTTTACCAGAAACCATTGGTAATATGAAAAATCTCAGTACTCTTGTTCTTAGCAACAACAAACTTAAGGATATTCCAGCCTGTATGAAGGACATGACAAATCTGAGGTAAGAAAAAGGAACAGGAATATAAAAATACCAGAAGATAAGTTTTAAAGCCTCCCTTAAGTGGTATATCATGAAGTCATACTAAGGAAGTAGAAAAGAAAAGGTATGTCAAAGGTTGTACAGATGGGCACAGTAATATATAAATCGGCATAGTTACATAGATGCACAACAGTTGAGGATCTGGCCAAGAAAGCTTTGTGTAGCACAACTCATTTAAATAAGTAAGCGATGACAGTTACAGTCCCAAATGAAGACTGTAATACATTTTCTCATTTCTGAAAGGTCCAAATGCCCAGTTCTAATTGACGTTTTATATCACTCTCTAAAGCCAAGAGCTTACAATGACAAAAAGTAGAATTTTGGAACTGGGAATTCAGGCATTCAGAATTCAGTCAGGTATAAGGATATGGATGAAACTCTCCTGTAATTGACTTGAAAAATTAAAAAGAATGAATGTAAATTTTTAATTGGTAGAATTGGAATTATTATTTTCTATACTGTGACAGAAACTTTCCTATTGTTTGCATTTTCATTTGAATTACTGGATGCTGGCTATTTTAGAGAAAGAATGCTCGTCTAAATAAATCACATTTAACCTTGTAAAACAGTTCCTGTTTTCAGATGTTTTGGAAGCAGCAGCATCTCTATAAACATATATATACAAGCCTAGGCCTAGGCATGGACCAAGAACAGAGGGAGTCAGGGCTGGCTCTTGCCTTGCAAAGGTGGGAGGATGCAGGTGTTTGCACTCTTGTTCTCATCCACTCCCCTGTTTTGGAAGCTCAGTAAGGCTGACAATTGGCTGAAAACCTGAAGACAAAACAATGAGGACTGCAATGTTTTCTCCCACTGCAATCAGCCACTGTTGTTACAAGGTGTCTTCTTAGCTTAGTTTACTTAATGCTACCAATATAGTGGTGAGTTTAGTATAAGAAAAGGCTTATTTTACTCAAAATACTGTTTGAGGAATCTTAATTCAGTTTCAAAAGAGTTGTTCTCTCTGGACAAAACCTATTGCAAGAGTAACCTTTTTTGGTGAACTGTCAGATTTGTCAACTTCAGAGACAACCCACTGGAGTTAGAGGTAACGCTCCCTCCATGTGAGAATACAGAAGAGGAGGAGCAACAGGAAATGTTTGGCATTGAATTCATGCACATGTATATCCAGGAGACACTTAAGAGAACAGGTATGGCTTTTATATTATTCTCATCTGTCTGGAATACAATGAGGAAGGGAAGGATAAACCTGGAAAAAAAGAAAGCTAGGATACATATACAACTGAAATTTGAATGATCTTCTTAATAAATAAGATTTTCCAAAAATCTGTAAACAGATTTTTACTGAGGGTGCTTTTATCAGGAGTAGCTCTTCACATGAATGGCACATGTTCTAGTAGGAACATACCAGAACCATGGAACGTTGAAATTAACATGCCTGAGTTAGACTGTCTCTTGTATTTACAATCTAATCAAGAGTTTACGTAGTGTGGGTCTTCCACCACTGTTTGTCTCACAAAGCTCAGCTTTTCCTATTTTTGGATGTTGTCCAGATAGAGACTACCAAATAAGCATGTAAGGGAGAGATGCCTCATTCCCAACATACAGCATTTTTTAGCAATGAAGTATCAACACCTGATAAATGGATGTTTCTCACAACTTGTTTTGCCTCACAGAATTTCCTCCCATTTCTAAATCACCGTGACCCAAAAAACCCGCTGTTACTAGGCTCAAAAGTAACAGCTTAAAGGTTGCGGTAAGAGACCAAAATAGGCACTTCTGAGCAGATGTGCAGGAGGCAGCTGTTACTTGCAGACAGAACTTCATTGTAGATAGAATGAAGATCAGAGAGAATATTTTCTATGTATGGCAAAGGCTTAAAAAGCAAATGACTGAAATGCTCGTGGCTTTAGAATGCTAAGCCAGCTTTTTTCTTATCCATATTTCATGATTGAATAATCAAATTAGCAGAAATATATCAAGATGAGAATTTACAAATAAGTTTTCTTCCTTAACAGATTTCCCCAGCAGCACAGGCTGATGAAAGTACCCAGGCCTACTTAAATTTATACAAAGTTTAACTGAACTTCTAAGTTAAAATGAAGTATGCTAATTTATTTTAACCCATTGTCTTTCAGGAAATCTAGAAAGTTGTACTTCTGATCCTTCTCCTACCGTAAATGCCAATGAATAAAGAACCCAACTGCAAATGGAAGAAAATATGAAGTATACTTCTTCTTAGTAAAGAGGCGTACAACAGGTTTTTCAAATATTCTTAGGTATTTTATTTTTCTGCTCATGAGAACTGTTTTGCATATTTGTAATTCCCAGTGAAACTGGGAAATATAAGACCTTTTCCTGGATATAGATTAAAACAGTTTTTTTGTAAGCATTGAATTAGCTTTTTAAAAAAGTCCAGATAAGTTTTTTATAGTTTTTTTTTTCCCTACCAATTCCAAATCTATCTCTGTCACGTAGTTGGCTCTGGTATCAAAGATGGACTCGGGACAGCTGTCAATAGGACATTCTCCAAGGACACAGCAGACTCTGTATAATAGTGTAGCCCAGCCTTGTATCCACATTGTTGTAAATATTCAATCCGTCCATGATCAATCAGCAGTTTACAGAGGCAACCTATCTCCTTTCGTTCTTCAACAGTAAGTATCCTAGTTTCATAAAAAGGAGGAAAAGAATGAACATGTGTCAGAAGAATAGTTTTGTTAATGTTAGTAGTTAAGCTTGGAAAAACTGTTGAAATCACTATGTTGGTTTCAATTCAGGCAAGCATGACTGTTAAATTTTTTGAAATGTGCGTCCATGAAAATTGTATTTTTAAAGTAGAATATTTCTATAAATTTAGTAATTGAAATGTTTCTGTAAAATTAGTCTTTTTGAGGACCTGAAACAATTTAATATACCACTATACATAATCTTGCTTTTTCTTGGACTCTGCAGGAGTCCATTTGCTAGGAAAAAAAAATAGTTACATACCCTTGTAAAGTATCAGAACCGCAATCTGTCTTGCTGAATGTTTGCTCATGTTCTTCTGTGTCATTAGTTTGATCTTCACTTTCTTCACTTGTAAAGACTTTGGTTGTGGTTTCTCGCATGCCACAAGTAGCCCAGCTACTCATTCTCTGAAAATAATGAAATTCTAATGGTCCAAGTCCAACTGATTTAAAAAATTCTCTGCCTACATAATGCGTCCAGTCACACTTGTGATGGCAACACAGTGCAATAACAATTCCAGCTACAGGCTTCCAGTTGTCTTTGTTGCTTTCATTGTCAGCAGAATTGTTAGAAGCCACCTCTGTCTTAACAGTCCTAGAGCGTTTTGTTGCAGGCTCTTCATTTTCTCCCTCACAGCAAGTTGTATAACTTTCAACCAAGCATCTCAAAGCAAGATCTGGGAAAAAACAGATATAGCCCCCTCAAAAATTAGTGATGAACACCACACCATTATTTATACAGGCTGTATCATGGTTGAGAATGTACTTCCCACAAAGATGAATAAAAGTATACATCACAAACAAAGTCAAAAAGCAATTTTAAGGATAACTACAAATTACAAGCATGCTTTGAAAACATGAAAACCCTAAATTCTAAATGACAGTTTGGAAGATCATTCTGTTCAGATAGTAAGATTTAGTATCCTAACTTTCTGCAGTAAGCATATAAGTAATTCATACCTGTCGCAGCACCACACAAATGCTTCCCAATTCCTACCACTGGCAGTTTTTTCTTCTCCAAAATGGGTACCTTCTCTGGAGGGAAAAGGGAAAAAAAAAAAAAAAAAAAAAAAAAAAAAAAAA